GTGTTTTTGTAATAATTATAGGAAAAATGTTACAGTAGCAATTATTTTATTACCCATTAAATTGATTTCTGGAGATTATCTAAGATGTCTCATGACCCAGAATTAGGTCCCAAGCCCAACTTTGGGAACCAAAGTGCAGTGGTTCCCAAACTTTTCAGCTTTTGACCCACAAAATAACAGCAGCAGAGACCTGTGCCCCCAACTATTTTTGGATGATAAACATTTGTATCAGGACAACAAAACATGGGCACGGTAACAATATTTTTTATACTACATTTATCCATTTCAAATACACTAACCTCAATCATTTGTAACAACTAAAGCAAAAATGTAATTAATTCAAAAAATCTTTTCAGGACCCCACCTTGATGTTTCGGGACCCCACTTTGGGTCCCGACCCCAACTTTGGGAAACACTGACATTAACCATGAGACAACTTCACTTCAGCAAGTTTTCTCGTTTATTCAGTGTATATATTTTCTGTTCTTTTTAAAAGTTAATCATTCAGGTACAGATGTACAGACGTAAGAGTAAAAGTAAAAAAAACGTTTTCTAATAAATTACCAAAGGAAACTATATTTCCTGTAGAGTGAACCCTCTCCTCATTTATGTAATACACTTTGCGTTCAGATTAATTACATGAAATTGGGTTAGTGAGAGAGAGAAACTGATAATATAGAAATGGCATACTGCATATATACCTTTCTTCATCATTGGATACGTCACTTAAAGAGCTATCATCAAACACAGCGAGAGGTTCTCCATTAACATGTGTGCTGGTCTGAGGGGCTCCCTGCCGTGCCCCTCTGACCACCAGCTTCTCTTGCTTCTTGTTATTGCAGCTCTGATGGAGTGGAAGATGCAACTGCTCTGGAGCCCTGTTGGTGCTATGAAGAGCAATAACTCTGACAGTCAATGAACTGTGACACAAGAGTCAAACTCTGACCTTGGGTTCAGGGAGGTAATATCCTGCATGACTGAGATTTTACCAGCTTTAAAAGATGTTCTTCAAACGAATTGGTCAAAAACAGGCTTCTGTACAAGTTAATGACACGTGAATCAGGTACGATAGAGCAGAGAAACAACTAAACCCTGCAGAACACTGATCCAGGACCAGAGTTTGACACCACTTCAGATGAAATGTAGAATACAGATCTTATCAAAATACACACAAAAGTTTAGTTTTGGTTTCCACTTCTGAAAAGAGCTTTGAGGACAAAATCTAATTACAAAAACAACAGAATGTCTTCAAGTGTCGATAACACAAATATTAGGATCTAAACATAAGAAGCAAAACACGTACCTTTGGGCAGCAACAGGCTGCTCCTCCTGATGAATTCCTGCAGGTTGATTTAACAGGTAACCTGATCCAGTCTCAGCTTTCTTGGAACCAACGTCTTCCACTGCTGTTTTACCACCATCCATAGAAAAACTTGATTTTTGATCCCTCATTGCAGTGTTTGCTGTTTCTCTGCTGTCCTGAAAGACAAGAGTAAAACAGTTTTATAACCTGGACTGGAAAAAATTTGATCCATCTGAGACACATCCAAACCAACCTTTTGAGATGCATTTTAAAGCTGTGTTTGAACATGCTGTCATACATAATTTAGTGCCAGCCCTCCCGCTGGAGACCTAACACCTTGGTGTTAATCTCTAGAGTCCATTATACAATATTAGCCCCAGGAAATCTTTGTTCTTAACAAAGATATTAAAATACCAGCTGCATTTTCAGTGATTACACAGAGAAACTGATTTATATGGCAAAACACAAAAAGCTATTTCAATTTTCTGAAATAGATTTAAATTAGGAATTGTATCTCAAAGTATTTATTCTTTAATTTAATAAAAGAAATTTTTTATCTGAATCACCATATCTGACTTTTACAGACATTAGTGTATTCCCTTTGTTAATAAACAGTGCAGAGTAACAGCACACACTGAACAGAGTGAAAGACCAATATTCAAGAGGCTGGCCAGACACTCTCTACTACAGAGGTGCATATAAATGTTTAAAAAAAACACACAAAAGCACAAATTTTAAAAGGAAAAACAAGACAAACAAACAAAATAATCAAAAGTAAAGAAAAAGCTGAACATGTCAACCCTTCTTCTAATGGATCAAAGAAGGTAATTATTTACTCAGCTTTTACACAAACCATTTTAATGAAAAATAACAACAATAATATAAAAACCATGCAAAGCCCACGAATCTTAAAACACAAGTCTCTGTAAAAGGGGTACAGAAAAGATAACTTGATTATCTAAAACTAGATTGCCAATTAGCAACATTTTAAAGTACATTTAGGTACTAAAAAGTCGTGAAATATATAAATTTTCCTTCAATCATATCCCTTATGAATCCATGTGTCTAAAATGTCTCTACAATATCCAAACTGAATTAAGTTGTTTCAGAAATATGCAGATTAAAATTTTAACTATTGGCCCTTTAATAAATTGAAAATTTTACCCAAAACTATACTTTTTTAATCCAAAAGTCCTAAATAAGTTCATTTTAATTTAGTTTGTGTATCGAGTGCAGAAGACATTTGTGCAACATGGACTATAGTCAAATACTGTGGTTTGAAAGCATAAAACAGTTTTTAGGTCAGTCAGACATTAAGAACTCTGGTTGAGTAAAATTAAGTTCCAATGATCTGTGAGAGCAGAATGAAGACACTTATTTGTCTAAAAGTTTAACCACACTGGTTTGTTGTGACTCCTGAGTCAAGATGTTCTTTTTGTTTTTAAAGAAATATCACCAGTCACCAGGAGAAACTCCATTAATTGGGGTGTCTCAATCTTGTGGTTTTTGTTGTCATGCAAATATAAGTAGATTTACATAAATTAAACCTCCAGAATCCAATGGTGTTTGGCTTTAGCACCCATTTTACACAGAACTTGTGAACACAACAAAGTTGTGCTAAAAGAAAAGAAAGAGATACCAGCAAATATTTGGAATGACGGGAGGTTAAGGTTGGAGTGAAACAAATGCAAACACATCATCTAATCATAAACTTGAAAAAAAGATTGTTAAAAATCTAATAAAAAGACATTCATGTTGGACTTTCTTGACCTACATACAATAAATGAAACAAATAAGATTATGCATGAAAGAAGAAAAGGAGAAAGTGAATAAATTAGGAAGTAACTATAAAAGACTCATCATCCTCTGCTTCTTTCTTGAGCAGGGACCTTTTTTTAAATCAAGTATTAAAACTCACAGCATCCATACCTCAAGTTTAAACCTTTTCCTGTTCTCCTCCAGCTCTTCAAAGACATCTGACCGTCTGCTTTGTAAGGACAGCTGAGACAAAGGGAACCCCTCAAGCTCTTCCCTTAACCCCACATTGCTCATGTCAGTTTCATTCTGATCACCAGGTCTATCTATAAAAACTGGGCCCACATCCGGCTCAGTCTCATCTTTTAAGAATGAATCCATAGGTGTGCCATTACCATGAAATAAAGTTTTGGTGTCATGAATGCTCTTCACACGTTCTTTGTGTGCTTCATTCAGCTGTGGTGGAACAGACCTCAGAACATCAGAGTTGAGTGGTTCTGGGTCATGATGGTCGCTGCTCATGTGAGTCCTCTCCTCACACACAGAGTCATCAGGTGACTCTGCTGCAGAGTCCTCCTGTCCAGACTCGCTCTGCTCAGGAATGGTGAGCAGAACAGTGCTTCTTGCTCTAGCTGCCGGTTGAACAATAACCTCTCCTCCTTCTTCTTCATCACTCGAATCTTCCTCTGCAGATGTGAGTGCAGGTGTAGCTTCTTCTATGGTGTTTTCTGTCTCTTGTCTTGATTTATAAAGTTCGCCAAACTTCTCCTTTAATTCACCAGCAACATTTTTAAAGGTGGATTTTATTTCCTTTTTCTCTACTTCCACCCAGAGTTTCTCGTAACGCTTTTCCCATGGTGCATCTTCACCACGTGTGTCTTCAGGGCAACACTGACTTCTAAAGTCGGCATTCTTTTCCTCAGAGCCAGAGTGAAATAAATCTAACTTATGTCTATCTACTACATGATCTTCCTCCTTTGATGACAATAGTGGATCAGGGGGAAAAGAAACACAAAAGGACAAAAATGCAAAAACAATGTTTTGGTGAAACACTTAGAGACATAAAGATAATACATTCTGAAACGTTGTTTCGTAACCATGCATTTCATATCCGTCAATATTGATAATTATTGATTAGTTTATTGTTTGGACTGGCCCATAACTGGTTCTTCTTTAATGAAACGTTGCGTCTCTCCTCCAAGAGACTTCTTCAGTCTGAGAGTTTCAGGTGAACTCAGCCTTATAAGCACTGCATCCACATGGTGGACAAATAGGTTAGTCACATGCAAAAGAGGACCATCAGCCAAACAAGATCACAGGGGGCTGAGTCATACTTGCAATAACAGGATTGTAGGAGGGGGACAACTGGACACGAAGGCCCCCACCTCTGTTTAATGGGCAAAAGGTGTGAATCAGGGCCCCAGTGATAGTCTGGTGATGGGCCACATGACTTTGTATGAACAATAAAGCTAATCAAGGCAATAACAACCTATTGTTTGGCTTTTTTCTTTTTGATTTTTCTACCTGGATTACTGAGATGCATCAGGACACTTCTGATTGTTAAAGCTAAAAAATAAAACTTAAATTTAAATCAATCTAAATAGTATAAAACTGAAAAGTGGTGCATGCACACTCACTATTACTGTATGCTCTGAAGCTCCAACCCAACATTACCTTCAGAAGTCACGTAATTAGATGAATAAGGCTACGCTCACACTGCAGGTCTTAATGCTCAGTTCTGTTTTTTTTTAAAATCTGATCTTTTTGTGTGAACGTTCACATTACATTTTAAATGTGACCTGCATCAGACCCCTGTGTGAACGTTACACAGCACTGATGTGACACGCATGCGCAGTAAAAGACGTGACGTCTCATCAGCCGGCTKGTTTGTTTACAGAGCTAGCATGGATGCTACATTTTGCACATCGAATCGGAAGTTGTTGTTTAATCAGAGCCGATTAAATAATTATCTGACMTGCTTCTTTAGTTCAGTGTTTATATCTGAACCTGCCTCTGACCGGGATGCTCCAGTGAAGCTTTTTTATTTTTTGAACGAAACTACGAGCTGGAAAAAAGTATCGACCGAGTAGCTGACTTTAGGATCGATACTCTCCGACCCAGGCTGGACGTAACTATCTACATGGAAAATTAAAAGTAAAAAGATGAAGCAACTGGACTTGTGTTTTGGAGCTGTAAACACACGGAGCTACAGATTTAAACAGCGTGACTTGAGTTTAGTGTCTTATCGATCCTTCAGCCCCTCCTCCTGATGAAAAAGTCAGATGAATGTGACATGAGCGTTCACACTGCAGTCACTTTGAAAACATCAGATATATATCTGATTTAAAACCACATACTGAAACGGCCTGGGTCGGATTTGAAAAAATCGGATTTGTCTACTTCAGACTGTAATAAAAAAATCAGATATGAGTCAGATGGGTCAAAAAAAATTGGATTTGGGTCGGATTTGCCTGCAGTGTGAATGTAGCCTAAGATTCAGGTGTGGGCGGTTTAGGTTTGGAATGACCTTGGTATGCAGTATAAACAACTGAATACATGTACACGTACATGTACACGTACGTTTCAGCTAAAGAAAATTATAAAACAAGTTCTTCATAGTTTAACTTAATTAAATTGAAGTGTTTGTTGAAGCAATTTTACTGATATTCAAGTTATAACGATTTGGTAAAATAATCTATATTGTAATAAAGCAACAAAATAGAAAGATTACCAAGGGGGATGAATACATTTACAACCCTGTGTATATACTAGGGCTGTACGATTTATTGTTTGAGCATCGTCAACACAATGTACGTGTCACATTGCGACACCTCCATTGTACGTATTTGGAAAATTTGAATTTATATTTAACAGTCGCATGAATATTTGCTTTGATTGTTTAAAGCATCTGACCCTCAAATAGCTTACGACAGCAGGTGGAGCTCATTTTAGGTCAGTGTTAAGTAGCTAAATGAAAAACAACATTAGGAAACAACTTTAAAAATGCACAGGCACAATGTGTTGAGTCAAAAAAAGTTAAAATCTAATGCCTAAATTGAATAAAGCCTTTTTCCAAAGACCATATTTAAAAAGGTTACAAGAAAATCTGGTCTCCTGAAAGTGAAATTGGGATGTTTAAGGACTTTTTTACAGGGAGGTAGTCACATTTACCAAAAAACAGAAAAAACCTGTTGCATGTCTCATTCAAAATGTTACAGTGTTGCCTCTTTTATGACTGCGGTCAGCTTAGTCATCTTTAAGGAAGTCCACCCAAAGAAGGACATGGTAAAATATTTCTTAAAATATAACTTGTTAATACAGTATACTCGGTGTTTAAGAAGGTATGTGTGCTTAACTAATGATGAAAGCAAGGATGATAGGAATCTTATTCTGTCAGTGTGCCTCACCTTTTGTTGCTTCTCAATAAACTCCAGGCTGTTATTAATGTCTTTTGCCATCAGTGAGTGCTCAGGGGAGCCTGAGAAGAGAAAGAAGTTATTTACTCAGGGCACTTCAGGGTGTCCCCTAGAATTTTTATTAACTGCGGTGGTGGTGGGCTGTCTTTTTTTTTGAGGGGGGTGGTGGGGGGTGACACAAACATTTAATTATAAAACATGATTTATTTTATGCTAATCTGAGTCAGTTTAGAGTATTTTGTGTATTTGACAGTTTTGTAGGAATGAACACATTTATGTTTATTCAAAATAAACTTGCTTCTTATTACTTATGTACCATGTTTAAAAGAAACAGTGCTGTACCAAACAATTATTTTTTAATTGATTAATCTAACGATTTTTTTTTTGATTAATCGATTATTCTAACAACAAATCTATAAGTTATTCTGATGTGAGTGCACTGGAAATTTAGAATGTTTTCATCAAATTAACAAGAACAGTTCTTTAATATTGTAATATTTTCTGTAATAGTTTTTTATGAACACAAAATATGCACTCTAGAGTCAATTCTTTAACAAAAAAAGCTTGTTGTTAACAATCTAACAAATGAACTAAATCATGTAAAACTCAAGGCACTCTGGAAAAACTATAATAAACATTTATTTATTATTTTTTAACATATTTCTCAATATATAAAATTTAACAAATATCAAGACAACATCCAACTCTTTGTATTGTGACATCAGTTGTGTAACTTAGTTCTTTAAGGTGAAAACTGTTGAAAACAACAAGACTGTTTTGTCTTATTACACAAATTAAAATCCAGCTCCACGTGTTTCTATTGATGTCATTTCACCACTAGAAACATGTGTGATGGAGGTCCATGGAAGACAAATAAGTTTAAATCAAATAAACAAAAGAGGATGCAGTTAAAATAAATGAAAGG